TATTGTGGTAATAATGATAAATTTAAATCTTTTTAATATCATTCTCTTTCATCTGAATTAAAAACTTTGAATTTTGATTTATTTAAAAAAATGATTTTTTATCAATTTTTAATGATCTAATGATGATATTTTTTTGTAAATTCTCTTTACAATTTTTTGGTTCATGACTGAAATAGAGGTTTTTTTTTTTTATTCTAGATTAGAGACCTTATCTCCATAATATATAACAAATTATACTTGTAGAAACACAAAAATCTTCATTAGATATTACTTTTTTTGAACTTAGATAGCATTTGAGCATACACTTAATCTAAATTGTCTAACTATTTTTTTTTTTATGATGATCAATAAGTATTCTAAAGTGATCTGGTCTTGATAAAACATTTAAGCAATCAATTTGTTTTTTTAAATGTTTTATTCTTAAGATAATAATATGACTTACTTTTATATAAAAAACAATTATGTGACTTGAGTAATCTTTTTCAAGAAGAGTAGAAATATGTTCTTTTTTTGAAATTGAAATTGCTTTCATTGTTACAATAAGAATTTGTATATACATATTATTACTGTTCTATAAATTACTTATATTTTTTATTTTAAATATATCATAAATGCATAATTTATTTTATTTACAATAATTAGTCATAATTATTGTGTTACTTAAAAAAATATAATCAATGGTTTTTTAAAAAGTCACAAAATGAATGTTAATTAAATTTGATCATATTAAAATCTAAGTTGTAAGGTTTACATCATCTAAATTTGTCAGTTATATGATTTACAGAATGTAAGATATTGTGATCTAAAAAAAAAAAGTAATGGAACAATAATTATAATTGTTAGTATATAACTCAATTAATAAGCTTCTCTACTTTGTCTAAAACAAAATAATTGTTGTAATTATGAGTGTTGTATTGAGGTAATTTAAAATTGATAAGTATTTGTAACTAAGGCTTCCTCTAAATAACTGTCAATGTTTTATTTTATAACAAGTAATTAAATTATTTAATTTTTCAAATGTTTTAATATACTATAATATATTAACTACTTAATTATTTTTCTTTTAATATATAGTTAATATTATAGTTGAGAATGAAATTTATTTTTTAATTTTAATAATAATTTTAACATTTTTAATATTCCTATAATTAAAACAACTATTGCATTTGAGTTAGAGTAGTTTTAATTAATTTTTAATATAATTTAAAGTAATTTTTAATATTGAAACCTAATTTACCAATTTCATTATCAGATAATTCAATAATTTTAACAAAAAACTTTTTATTAAGAAGAATCAGTTCATTTCTATCTATAATTAATACTGTCTAATCTGTCAGACTTTCTATATATATACAGTGTATGTTTTAAGTTATAAAGAACCATATATATTAATAATTAAACAACAAAAATACAAATTTTTTTATATATTTAGAAAGCATGTACAATTAGACAGTATCCAACTGTATAAGTTTTTTTATTACTTCACCAATAATTTTTAATAAAATTTTATCTAGAAATTTGATTAAACAACTTTAGCTTTTATTATTAGATCTTTTATAATTATTGATTTTAAAATAATTGGTACTAAAAAGTTTTTTTCATATTTTGTAAAATTATTGATAGCAAAAAAAAAAAAATTTTAAATACAATACTTTAAATATCAATGAGTTTAGATCATTGTAAGAAGAGTACACAAAATATTAAAAAAAATTTTAGTGTCAATTTTTTTGAAAACAAAAATAATAATATTTTTAAAAGAGTAAAAGATGTTTAATTAGAAAGTGGAGTCGGTGAATAATTATTCGGGCATCGATCAAAATTTTCGAACATCGAAATAATCTTCATTCATTGAGTTTTTAATTTGATTAATCATCGAGCATCGGTCAAAGTTAAATTTTATAAGTTACATATACAAGATTCCATAATAGTAGACTCACTATGCACTACGCTTGAGTGCAAATCACGAAATTTATAATCTTTTTTTTTTTTTTACTATACTTGTGATAAATAAAAAATTTACATGCTCTATAAAAGTTTTTAATATGGCAGTTTATGGATGTGTTTGATAACGATAAATTTTTCAAAATTTGATTTAAAATGAATAAAGATACTGCAATTTCCTTGCAAAGTTCTCTTTTAATAACGATTTGATTATATTAATATTCAGCTTGTGAAGGATTAAAACCCAATCTAGGAGAGGCTGTTACTGATATTTCTAAAAAAAAAAATGAAAAAAAAAAATTGAAAATACATGATGGTCTAAAAACGTCCTGGAGTTGACAGCACTTTGATTCGATCATAGTAACTAATAAAGATGACAATATAGCGATCTTAACAAAACGATATTTTTCGATTTTAAGGAAATGGCATGAAAATTTCTGCAATAAGTATGCAAATGAATGTTTATTTTCGAATGCAGGAAGTGTTACAAGTGTTATTATAAAATTCAAACCTATTTGGCATAACGATATTTCTAAATCATAATAGAATCAATGAATTACAAGTTTACAAGGGAAATTCTATTTAACCCGGTTCAAAGGGTTAGTGTGAACCGGAATTATTTTGATGCCAGCCGGGGTTTTTTACACTAAAAATCCGGTCGGCATTACCCGAAATTCAAGATCTTGTGTAACGCAAAAAAGCCAAACCAACAAAAAAACCTCGTAGCTCAAAATTTTGCCTATTAAAGTGACTTCTGCGTACTAACAAAAAAATTTCCTCGAGAAATTTTACTATAACTATGACCCTTTAAATAAAACATTAACCTACTGGTGGGACCCTAACCCTAAACTAATTGCGAACCAATTTTTTTTAATAAGATTACATAGTCGGCGAAATGTTTTATGGTGGTGATGCTAGCTAGACCTATACCTAAATTCTAGGGTCAAAATAGAATTTTCCTTATGTAAATTGTATATTAAAAAACTAGCCAAAACTTTTCACTGATGTTCAAAAATCGAGTTTGTGACCAAAACGAAGCTTGAAGCTATCTATAACTATAGTTTGGATGTTAAGTAATTGAATAGGTCCAATAATTTGATCGGTTCTATTTATATTGCATAAAATCAGAACAATGGTATTATTAGAAAAGAAAACACTCGAAATTTCATTTGTCATTAAAATTAGCTTTCAATGTTCAAAGTTGCATCAATACCTAATCATTTATAATAGAGAATTTATTTTTTATCATCACTAAATTAATATGGTAAGGTCATTAAAAGAATTTTATTTATTCCATTTACGATCGCCAGTGCGATGCATCGCTACCCCCTGACCTGATCGACCAATCTGAAACAAGCAGCCGGGTATGGTTAGGATTCAGTAGAAGGAATAGCTAGAAGACTCTCATACCCCCAAATTTCTCAAGTAATTTTTTTTGTTAAGATAAAAAGTGTGGTTTCACAGTCAAAATTTTAAGTTAGAAGCGATTTTCTAATTGCTTTGATCTCCATGTTACACCTGATTGGCGATGAATGATAATTCTATTTCTTGATCCAGATCATCAGATTAAATTTGATTGGCTGATAGATTATGCATTATAATATTTGTCATATGAAGTCGTACAATTTTAGTGATATCAATTGTTCGTATGACCAGCAAATATTTTTTCACAAGTACGTTCTTCAAGTTCTGAAGTATCATTTAAAACTTTGGGATCTCTTTGGATCAAATAGGAAAAGGTAGTTCGCTTATATGTAAAAAAGGAGAAAAATATGGTTATTTTAGTTAATATAAACTAAATCTTATAAAAAATTTTTTTTGCTTGCGCGTTATTTTATATTTTAAGGTAGTTATTTAGAATAATTTTAAAATTAAGAGACTTTACTTAGAAGACTGTCGTCTATTGGACTGTGCAAAGTTATACTGTAAAGATTATTAGAATGTATTTTGCTTAAGACGTTGATTTAAATAAACTTTTATTGCTAATTGTTTAATTTGAATAAGACAGACTTTTAGTAGCAAGAGATTTAGGTTTAATGTTTAGATTTGTTGGTTTTTATAGTAAATTTAAATTTTTGGTATATACGGTATATAACTGTATTGTATAAATTTTGAATAATTTCGAATTTATTAATAATAAATGTCCACATTTATTTACTTTATGTGTATTAATCTATTATCTAAATATGTGATAAAATATTATTACAGATTAGAGCGATGAATTTTAAATTTATTTAATTTGATTGGTTAATTATCACGGGTAGATCATACAAATATTGTCTAATTAAAACAAACTTCCGTCATGCTATTTATTCCAAATTTTTCTACGAAAAACCACTACTTCAATTAAGCCTCTTTTTAAAGAAATTGTATGAATAATAAGAAAATTCACCACCTTAATCGTGTCTTTGGATCACATCCGAGAAATTCATGTGACAATTCTTTGGTAATAATCTTACTCGACAAAAAAACTTTATTCATTGTATGGATAGAGATAGTCTTATTTATATTACTTGGATGATGATGACAGGTACGTCTCAATTTTGTTAGGGTAAAAAAAATATAGCTATCAAAATCGGGACGGAAACCATATCTATTTTTTTCTTGATAATTACAAAAAATTTTCGCAAAATATAAAATAAACTCAAATTAAAAACACAATCTCGAAAAACGCAACTAATTCTTAAAATAAAATCATTAAGACCTATCTAAGTAATAATTTAGATCTAAAGCACTATCTAGATACTAGAGATAGGAAGACTATTGCTATGTCAAGGATAAAAAGATAATCCTACATGTGATATTATTAAAACTGGTTCACGAAACATAATAAATCAAATATATAAATACTAACTTTCGTGGTTTTTCTTTTTTTATTCCTAAGATAACCTTAAACTAAAAGTAAACCCAATAATATAATAATAACAATAGCACTATAATCACTGACCTTTCCCGGATTTTAACTCTATAAAAAAGCGATTTAAGTAGCACAAACAAGAAGATATTTAAAAAGATTATATAAAAAAAGAAAACATATTCTTTTTTTTTTTTGCGAAGAATTAACTATTAATATGCCCATGAATAATAAATAATGGATCATCAATTTCAGGAAGACCATAATATAACATTTGAGGTGATTGAGGAACAGAAAGAGCCTTTTGCTTGGGGGACAGTAAATTTTCTTGTTGTAATTTGAATAAATTGTCGAAAGATTGTTGTTTATCATCAGTTATGGATCTGGTCACGGTTAAGTCATGAGATTTTTTAGAGTTTTTATCTTTATTAATCGTTTTCTTCAAATAAAACTCACGAAACTTCAATCCTTTTTGCTTCTTGCTTTTATCTGGTTGAAATTTATAATTCGGATGCATCAACAAATGATTCTTCTTGGCCATCAAAGATAAAATTTCAAAGAATCTTTTCACCGGTTTAGACTCTTGGGCCCAGATTTTGGCTACTTTCACTGAAGTTTTGGTTGTATGTGCAGCCAATTGCATTGACTTCATTTTGGCAGCGTAATTTTTACGATATATCATAAAGGGATTAGAAGGACGAGGGATTTTATCATTAGAAGTGCCATATTTAGATTGGTTGTTTTTCATAGATGGTGCTTTTGTCAATTCTTCCACCGTGAGCGTTAGTTGGTATGGTGGGTGAGATAGCAAAGAACTGATCTCGGAAGAGTTCAGTACTTCGTTAATATATATCAAGCCTTGTGTGTCAACCATATTTTAAAAACAAAAAAAAACCGAAGAATTTGGGTTTTGTGAAAAAAGAATTGAGAGAAAAAGCCGTCAATTCATTAAGTTTATAGGGAAATTGCTTTGAATTTCCGTAACTCATTTATAACCTTGATGCTACTTTCTCGAATTGGGCATAATAGCATTCGTAGATTTAGTATATATGCAATCATTTCCACAATTGTCTAATTATAAAAATATCCATGATTATTAGATTTTAACGGAGAAGATGAGATAAAATGTCTGATTTACCAACTCTGTTCAAGCTCATAATATATATATATATTATTTGCATTAATGACTTTTGTGTGAACTCAAATTTAAAAATAAAGATTCTTTCTCTTTATTACTTCATTGTTGTATTAGTATCTTATTTTGTCATTCGTGTCCATGACCGACAAATGAAAGTTTATAATATTACTAAACCTTGTCATTGTCCCCAAATTTGGTCAGAAAATTTACATTGTTAAAAGAACGAACCGTTTAAATGATGTGCGTATGTGTATCTTTTATTTTTATTATTGTACGGTCAACTAAATAAAAGTTCAGACTTTCTTGAGATCGGACAAAAGATTAGGAGGATCTCCACCTATTGTCACGTGGTAATATAAAATAAAATTACTAACCACTGAGTGAATCATCGAAGTTTGTTACTTATATTACACACCTCTACTGCAACGATTTACTATATCGATATTGTATGATTTCCATTAATCAAAATTAACTAACTTTGTCTATCGAATTTCAGAATTAATATAAGCTAGATTGAATTTGTATTGCCAATGAGTTATGAATAACTTCAATAAAAAAGTACACTTTCTGTACTGTAGATGCGTCTAATGTCTCAGTTCAATCTCTACTAACGATTATAACTCCACTCTGAGGATGTGTTTAGAAAGGCTCTCTGTATAAGAATATTAAGTGAAAATGAATATTTTTACATTGAAACCTTACTGTCATGGAGAATCAAGAAATCTTTTCATTTTGAAATTTTATCACTTGTATTTTTTTATTGTAAACCATATACATAATTTGATATGATGCACCACATATATGATGTGCGCCTAGAAGCCGCGTTTTTATTCGGATCGACTTTTATAAAACTTTTATAGAATGTATATACGCAATTAAAAGTATTATGGATTATGACTAAGATTAGCACCCTGGCAGAACTTTATCGGACTTTTGCAATATTGGCCAATTTTTGAAATGCAAAGCTTTTTCATTGAAGTTTCCTTGCATATTATTTAATCTTTTAACCGATTTTGTTTACATATTGTTGTATGGTTCTCAAAATAGGATTTTAGCAGGAAAAGTGCCGCTGACATCGACTTTGCATATCACATCGTACCAACCTTATGACAATATTAAATTTTTGCAGATAATAATTTTACTTTGTATATTGTTTTAACCATTTGTTATCCTTAGTTACATTAAAATGTTGAGTTTGGTAAGACTTTCATCCCATACCAATAAAATTTTACCTTTTTATTTAGGTATGACTTGAACATGGGATAAAAAAATATTTACTTAAATGTACATACATACGCAATTTATAAACTCTTCGTTCTATAAGAATACGTTATTAGTCCTTCTCCTCGTAACTGCATCCTTCATTTTTCTTTCCTTTTCATTCTTTACACTTTTCCAACTACCCTAATTTTATATCTTGCAGAACGAAAAAAAATATGTCTTCTAATAAATCAATAGACAATTTCAAAGACTTTCCACCGATTCAAAAAGCAATAAAACTATCTACTTCTTTAGTTTGTGATCAGAGTGCTCGTCAAGTTCAAGAATGTCTTGACCAACTTAAACGTGCAATATATAGTCAAATAATGGAACCTTCTCATGATGAAAAACCTCATTATTGGCCAACTCTTTGGGCACATATGAAATTTTGTATGAACGATCTTAAATATTGGGAAATGGGAGCCGGACACCCTGCTGATAGATTATCCGATTCTTATATTCGGTTGGCGTTATTGCGTCTGTTTTTTGAAGTAGGTGGGCTTTCGAAAAAAAAGCAGATAGAAGGAATAATTGCTGATATTTTGGAAATACAAGCTTCCATTGAAAGAGTGAAAGATAGTAGAAACTAAAGAACATTTATGTTGTGATGTTTTTTGTTTGAGGCATATAATAACAAAATTGTGTTATTATTTGCCTTTAGTACATACATTTAACTTGTACGTAACTTATCAAGAACATTTTTATATTTATCATTATTTTTAAAATTGTATAAATTATGTAATTAGAAGTTTAAAATTCAAAAAAAAGAAAATCACATTAAGTAACTTTATATTCATATTAATAGCATGATTATTATTAACAAAATTTATTTTTAACATTAAATTATTCTTCTTGTCAAAATTTTAACTTGCATTATATGCAGAATTTTACAAAAAAATTGAGCTTTTTTGAATAAAGTTTTTGTCTCGATTTATTGACAATTTTTTGGTGTTTATAGTGTACAGATTTTTAAATTTATTACTGCGTATTTAAATTAATTGTACATGTTATAAGAATAAAATTTAAGTAGATTTGAATTTCTGATATTTTAGAATTAGAATATAGAATTAATTTTCAATTTTAATAAAAAAATTTTAATTGTGTTTTTACTTACAACTTATTTATACGTTGATTAAATTCTAATATAAAAATTACAAATTGTTTTTATAACTAAAAATATTTTATTCTTTAAACTATAGATCAATTTTAGACAATTTGTTTAAAACATTATTAAAAATATATTTATGATTCATATTTTTTAAATTTTAAAATATTTAAATAAATTTGTACTGAAAGTAGATTAAAGACTCTGATCCTAAAATAAATAATGTTCTTAGTTTTATATTAAGTAGACTTACTATCAATGAAGTTCAAGTATGTAAAACGTCAAAAAATGAATAAAACTTGAGTAGTTTTTACTTTGAGTTAAGTTTTTTATCTGGTAGACTCTTCTATTTATTTGATATTCAAACCAGAAGAATATTTTAAAAACAAATAAAGATTAAAACAGTTTCTAATTAAAAATATTAAAAACAGAATAAAAAAAAAATAATTAAAAAAAAATATTCTTAACTTGGACTCTTGTAATAATATAATATATCTTTTATATTTTTTATTTTTTTTTTACAAAAACAAAGAATTTAACTTGCTCTTATTAAAAGATTAATATTATATATTATTTCTTTTTATGGTTACATTATAATAAATAAGAAATATAACAAACATATTGATTAATCAATTATATAAAACAAATCATAAAAAGATTTAAATTAAAAAGATCTAAAATTTATTAATATATATATATATTCTGAAGTTATATATATAATTTTTTTTAAAATAAAGAATTAGATAATTTAATTATAAGATTTATTTTTTTGATATTAAGATAAGGTCTTGCTTAGAATTTGGAACTAATTTTATTTTTCTTATATTAAATCTAATTAAAGTCAGTTTTAATATAAAAAAATAAAATCAGTTTTAAATACTAGTTTTGCTTATATTTTTATTAGTAGTTTTAAAGTTAGTAACTATATAAAGTTACTATATATAAAAATAATTTTATATAAATGCTATAATCAAGACCAACACTTACAGTTAGGATTAATTATTAAATTGCTAATTATATAACTAACTTAAGTACAACTAAAAAAAAAATATTTAAGAATAAAGCTTAGACATATTTGTTTGTAATTTAAATCTACAAAAATGATCAAGACTTATCTAAATTTAAATAGTTAAAATATAATTAAAAGAAATATTATATTTGATCCAAAAAATAGTCTATATATTAATTTTTTTAATAATATAACTAATAGATAAACATGTATTCATCAGGAAAGTTTTTAAAGGTGTTATATATTATTAGTAATCCTTAGATTACAATCGATATATAGCACCTTTGCAGAATATCATTGTTAGTGATTACTAACGATATATAACAAAAATTTGTTAAATTTTTTTAAACTTTGACTTATATTTTCTCGATAACTACTAATCCAAATTGGCTCAAATTTTTACTATATAT